CACTTACGCGTTACAAAGGGCGCTCCATGTGAGTCACGTGCTCGCATATGCTGCCAGAGCTCGATCTGCTCCCACTTCTCGCCCTTTTCTCTCTCTCTCTCTCTCTCTCTCTTTCTCTTCTATCTCTTTGACATAACGCGTGTACATAATGTACATTGTCTCTCGCGCCAGTTTGTCCCGATAGTCCGCGTACACTCGAAATTTCCCCCCTCGTTCTGCCACTTTTCTTCACCTTCTTCCCTGTTCCCGTTTTTTTGCTTTCTCGAACTTCTGGCTTCTTTTTTTTTTTCCACCGCTTATTATCTTTGCCGTTCTATCTCTTCGCGAAACCTTTCCTTTTTTTCCCCCCTGCGCACTCTTCGCTCCGTCCTCTGAACCTTCTGTTTCTGTTTTTTTTTTTTTTTTGTTTTCATCTTTTTTGTCTAAATGTCTCTTTCCCCTCGTCCCTCACGATCCTTCCTTTTTTTTTCTCCTTTCGACCTTCTTGTTCTTTATATACTCGCCCCCCCCCTTCACGCACGACCCGGTCTCTCCTCGTGTCTTTTTCGTCGGCACTCGAAACTCGCGTGCACGTCCTCCCCGATGCACGCGGATCCAAAGTGCGCGCGCGAGACCGCGGGCGCAGCGTGCATGCGGGTGTTGGCCACGTGCGCGCTGCACTTTTTGCTCGGTACGCTTTTATGGGACGCTCGAGCCGTCCTCTTCTCGTCTTCCCCTCTCTGGCTCCACGACAACCTTCTCTCCTTCCATCGAGCGCTCGCGTCGCGTACAAACTTTTCGCTTATCGCCATTACACCTGGCTCGAGCCGGCTCGATGAAAATCGAGTGAAATCTCGGGCGGTATCGAGCAAAAGCGGATCGCCTTGAATTCCGACGTGTCGGAAAAGCGACTTGCGAAAAGTGCATGCGAAATATGACGTAGTAAAGTACAAATATACTTATTACTGTATAAATGTAGTATATGTATTATGTAATATATATAATATATAGTATAGTACAGTATATAGTATAGTACATATATTATATAATATATATTATAGTGTAGTATATATATAGTATATATATTATATAATATATATTATAGTATAGTATATATATATGTATAAATATAGTATATATAGTATATATACTTATTACTGTATATATTATAGTGTAGTATATATACAGTATATATATAGTATATATATTATAGTATAGTATATAGTATAGTATATATATGTATATATATAGTATATATATTATAGTGTAGTATATATATAGTATATGTATTATATAATATATATTATAGTATAGTATATGATATAGTACATATATGTATAACTATAGTATATAGTATAGTATATATATGTATAAATATAGTATATATAGTATATTACTGTATAAATGTAGCATATATATTACAAGTATAATACAGTCCTTCCTCGGAGGTAGAAATTAGATTTTTTTTACTGCGCTCGTGAATCGCTAACATTCGCGCGGATTGATAATTGTTACGAATCGTTTTTTGGGAAGAGAACTACGCTCGATTTGTTCTCTGAACGCACGTGCGCGCGGTGTCTGTGTTTAGTGACATTTTAGCGTGGAGAATCTATCGCGAGGTAGGAAGCAGCGAGGCGAGGCGAGGCGAGGCGAGACGAGACGAGACGATCGATCGATTGGTTCGGATAAGCGGTGGGGCTGTTTTGCAAGCGGTGAAAAGTCCGCCGTGTGTTTGCCAGGGATTTCGCGATCGGGCAATTCGACGCGAGTAGGCGACGACGTGCGGCCGATTGGCGACGATGTGTGCGCGCCGATTCGTGTTGCACAAGTGAAAGAGAGTCTCGGGAGAGTACCGGGGCCTGAGCGTAGTAGCGCTCGGGCTAGCGCGGACGTTTACTCGAAATGTCAAGGATGCAACCGGGCGAGCGTACGAGGGCGCGCGCGCGCGCGCGCGAGCCAACTGCGACCGTTCCCCGAGACAATGGCGGCCGGAGGCGCGGAGGAATTGTTATTTTGTCACGCATGGCTTCGATTTACGCGCGCGCCGCGAAAAACCCGCCTGTTTAAATGTTTCTGCCAGCCCGCGGGCACGCGCTGTTCGCTTGCGCGCGAAGATGAATTTCATAGCTTGTCAGTGAATTGGGTTTGCATCAACAAAGGGAGACGGTTTTCCTCTTTTTTTTTTTTTTTTTTTTTTTAAAAAAATTTTGGTGTTTTGCCTGTCGGACGGCGTAGTGAATTTTCTTTTTTTTTTTTTTTTTTTTTTTTTTACAAAAATTGTCGAGTTTGAACGACCATGATCTTTGCTTTCGTTGAACGTTGCAATACCAGATTAATGCCGTACGATGTTCGAAGCGTACAATTATTTAAATTTGAAGAAACTGGTTTGCTCGAAGAACGTAGGCTTCAGCTTTCTGTTTGACTTCGTTCCGAACGTACGGAAGGAAGTCCACAGTTTTTAATCCGCGCCACTGCCACGCAGTTGCTGGATGAGTCAGTGATACCAGTCGCGATTATTCACGTGTCTTACCTGATGTTACCGCGTTTCAAAGTTACTCAAAGCTGCTTCTAAGTTACGTTCCGCCGTAATTCGCCGCTCCGAAAATTCCCAAACCAGTTGCACACGGTTTGCCAGTACCGTGTTTCGGCACGAGCAGCAAGCCCTCATCGAGGGAACCCTCGGTTACGAATCGGCCGACGAAAAGGCTTCGTTAAAACTAATTACCACCGGCCCTGACCTCTCGACTCGGTGTCCCGCGCTCTTAATTATCGAAGACTGTGGAAAAAACGAGCGTTAGCAAGCGCTTTAGCTGCATTGTTTATCTGGCGCCGACGCGAGAGACGTAAAACGCGTGGTGGCCTCTTATCAATCGAAAAAACGCGTGCGTCGGGGCACGCGCGGCAGTCTGATATTGAGCGTTTCCTGACCGTCAGATACCTCAGTGCTCTCAACCTCGAGCGCTCGCTTCTTTTCTTCCTTTTAACTCCTCCGTTTTTTTTTGTTTTTTTTTTTTTTTCGAAGAAACGCGCTCACGGTGGCAATATCCTTGCAGGTCTCGCGTGTGTGTCATGCACACGTACGTGTACGTACATAAGCGCGCGTCGAACATGTCGAAATCGCGGAACGAAGGCTACGGTATCGAGCCTGCCGTTGTAAATTTTCAGACAATCATTAGCCAACAATGTCGTTGGTTGCCATTACAGGGCAACCCGGTGGCCGCCATTGCCACGTTGTCTAGCCAGAGCGTGGCATTAAACCTTATAAGCAAGTCGCGCGGCCGTCATGCGTGCGTAGATCGTAGCATTTCCATTGTGTGACGCAACGGTTTCGCCTTTGCGCCGCGATTAATTACCGATGGCAAATCCAGATATACACGTTTGAATACGAATCGGCTGGACCGAGCGTACTTCGTATTTCGTATTATTTCGTCGATTACGGTATCGTCTGCGGCCATCTGTTTTTCAGTTATGCACTCGGGTAGATCGTTCGCGGCGATCGATACGGCGATGATGAATCGTCAAGCCTCCAACTTATCAACTTACCATCGAGGAAACGATTTGAACTTTACGCTTGCGCGTAAGGCGCCCGGTTATCGAACGTGAATTTCGCGAATCGGCAGAGTTTATGGGGCCAGCCGATGAAAAACTTGACGCGCGAGTTTTGACAAATTGCGGTCGATGATGATTAGACGTCTCGTGGTTGCAAACGGTGTCTTGGAATTTAGCTAAAGTTGGTATTTCGTTCGTGTTGTTTCAGAAGATGATGGCGAGATAAGCATCGTTTAATAAGTCTAATTGTCGATTGTACGTTTAATCTTTAATCTTCGGCAAAACGAAAAAGCTCGAACCATTGTGGAGTCACTTTGCAAAGGTCACAGTTGAAGATTCGCAGACATTTAACGTTGATTCCATTGAAGTGGCTGGCACAAAATAGGCTAGGACAGCAGTTTTCTTTCTTCCTTGATAGATCCTATTCGAGATCCTCTTCAAGATGAAATCGATAAATCGGTGAATTTACTTTCACTCTCTGAACATTAAACTTTCCATTGAATTAGCCAAATTTCCTGCGTCCTTCAAGTCGAAATAAACACCGAGCTTCGAAGAGAGAAGTCAAATCTTTATCAAGAATCTTTTGAAAATTGAAATTCTTCGAAAAATTCTTGGATTATCTTTCACGTTGAAACCAATATTGATAATTCTTTCTTTAATAGCATATCCTAACTATATACATATTTATATATATATATATATATATATATATATATATAATTTATAATATATTATATTACATTATATTTAATATATATATATAAATTACTTGAAATATTCTCAAAATATTCTTGGAATATATAACTGTATGTAAATCCTAACAATATATATAAATTGAAATAGTTTTGGAATATTTTTGAAATATATAACTGTATATAAATCCTAACTAATGTATATAAATTACTTAAAATATCCTCGAAATATTCTTGGAATATATAACTATATATAAATCCTAACAATATATATAATTTGCAATATTCTTGGAATATTTTTGAAATATGTAACTGTGTAGAAATCCTAACTAATATATATATAAGTTACTTGAACTATTCTCGAAATATACAACTATATATAAATTACTTGGAATATTCTCGAAATATTCTTGGAATATATAACTATATATAAATCCTAACAATATATATAAATTGAAATATTCTTGGAATATTTTTGAAATATATAACTCTATACAAATCCTAACAATATATATAAATTGAAATATTCTTGGAATATTTTTGAAATATATAACTGTGTATAAATCCTAACTAATATATATAAATTTTTTGAACTATTTTCGAAATATACAACTATATATAATTCCTAATATATAAATTACTTGAAATATTCTCGAAGTATACTTGGAATATTTTTGAAATATACAACTGTATATAAATCCTAATATATAAATTACTTGAAATATTCGGAACAGCAAACTAGAAGTTACATTAAACGAATTCCCTGTTCGTGTTCTCCAGATCGATTACCGCGACGAGCGGGCGACAATCGGCAACCGGTGATCCTTGTGGACTCGGACCTGTCCCGCATGCCGCTGCCGGATCTGGTGCTGTACGCAGTGGAGCAACTTCCGCCAGCGTCGCCGCAGGTGACCGTGTCCGCGCCTAGCAGTCCGACCAGGGACGTGGCATTCCAGTTTCCGGAGTGCAGCAGCACCGGGAGCGATCAGGCACCGGTGCCAAGCCCGAGGCCACGTCCGCGAAGACGCAGGCTTGCCTCCGAGGGTTGCGGCGCCTCCGCCATGAAGAAGGGGCCCGTTGTCGAGCCAATTTGCAACAGCTGCTGCGGCCACTTTGGACACGGTTTCAGCGGAAGACAATGGGTGAACGTAGGTGCCAGTCTCAGAAATATTGCAGACGACTTCGATTCAATGACCAAGGTCAGTGAATTGAAACCATACCGAGATGAACTGGGATTTCGTTTTGATAAATTTCATTTCTCGAGATTCTTTAACTTTGACTGTATCGATCATGCAACTTAATATATCGAGCATGTCTTTCTGAACTGAAAACTTTTTGGAATTTATTCGGAATTTTGGAATTGATTAGATTGTAAGAGCCGCGCTGTAGTGTTGTTATTGTAGTTTGAGCGATCGTTTGGTTTCTTTTTCTTTTTCTTTCAATGCTAATTACAGTTTTCTTACGAAAAATAGACGAAAGAATGAAATTGCAAACCCACGCTCGCTTGTTTTTTGAATCCTTTTTTACACGTCGGTGATTCCTCGAGCATTTACAGCATCCGTGGTGTAGCGTAAAAATATAACGAAGATATTTACCAAGGCGGTCGGAAAGCAATATCGATCTCTTTGACAGTGAAAGGAGGGAAACCGCAGGGTGACTCTTTTGTTTTCAGCTTCTCGCGGTTGAACGTCGGGCCTATTGTTACCACGAGCGGTAACGCTCAAGTGTTTACGACTTTGAGTAGTACAGGTGCGAAGTGCACGACGTAAAAATAATTACGTTGCGCGCTCCCTGTTGTCACAATTCCGTCCACCCCCGCCGCGATGCTCTTTCACTCGTCGTAAAAGTCACCCTTTGTAGCGTGACTGTTGTAAAAACGCAGATGCCGACGAGGGATGCCCGTGAAATAGAATTTACCTACCCTCACGGCATTTTTACGCGTTCAATTTCTAAATTAATTTTACCCTGTCCACCGTGGCACACGACTTCGAAACTTTTTTGATTATCACACTCGTGCATAGCCGCATATCACGTTATATCATGCCTATCGCAATCTTAGCCCTTGATTAATTTGTCAACGAGAGTTGCTCTACACTTTATTATTGAACATAATGTTGAGAGTCTTGAACGTGTAAACACGGCGATCAATTTCTCCACATTCTTTGTAAATACGTAATACCTATTTATTTTGATGCGACAAAGAAAGTATTACTTGAAAATTCAAGCGAATCGAATGAATTGTCACTTGGGGCACGCGATCTTGACGACGAAGTCTACAAATTTCTGCAATTCGAAATGTCCAATTAAATTCGGAATCCGACGATCCTGCACTTTGCCCGCAGGATCTATACCTGTTCCTCGGTATCGCGATACAATCATCTTCCCGCATAAAATTCGATGCATCTCTGCTCACGTGGAGCGGTAGCAATTCCAGAAAATCGATCGAAGAATTCCCTGTGCGATATCATCCACGGTCGCGCGATATCCACGATTTAATGGTCAGCCACGAATGATTCAGTGTCTCTCATTTCGCCGCGGTTTCTCTCTCTCTCTCTCTCTCTCCCTCCTTCTCTATCTTTGGGTTACGAAAGGAAGGAGAGAAATTGGCGTGGTTGAAGTGGGTCAAACCAGGGCCATAAACGCGAATTTAGTTATATCGGTGGCACCGACGGTATCCCACGGGCGCAATAAATATCTGCTCGCCACCGTTAAGACGTCTAGTATTGCTCCCAGCGTGTATGACCCCGCGCGAAGCCGCCGCTTCATCACAGTTTCACTCGCTCTGGAGCTTCCCTGTCCCTTTCGATCGCACGATCGATCAGAGACAAACGCACGTATCGATATGTACGGCCTCGGAACGATGTCCCACTGATTTTACGAGCCCGGTGGCCGGTTGTTTGTCGCGGCCGCGATAGGTGAGAAAAAAAAAAAAAAAAATAGGACGTCGCACCGATTTTTATGGCGGAATCCCGTTTTTACATCCGGCCCGGATGAAATTGCTCTCGCGGACGCTCGTAAACGAATTACGGAAGATCGTCCGTCAATGTAAAACAGTCCACGGATAGATATTGCGGGATTGGATTGAATTTCGTGATGGATGCGCGCGTCACGTGGCATCTACGTCGGAATATTTTTGGAGCAGTTTTTTTTTTTTTTTTCTGTTGGAAGGAAAGAATCATAATTTCTGTGCATACGATTTTTTGGTGGTTCTACGAGCTTCGTTGCTGCGTCGCGAGTTGTCAGAACTCGATTCAGAGTTTGAATTAACCTCTTGCGTTGGAATGACGTGCCACGCGCGTCGTCAATTCCTTTTCGTCCCAAAATTGTAATACTTCCTCGGTTTTAACTATGTTCGAGTAAAATAAAGTAATAAATTTGTCACTTGTCAATCATTTCTATCCAGCGATATCGCGTCGACGAGTTCGAAGATAAAGCGACGATTTATTGTACACGGGTTCGGTCACTCGTTATGGTCCGCAATCAGTTGCCAGCGCAATCGGTTTCAAAATTCGTTTAATGATAAACAAGCTGTCCGCGATATTTATTTTTACGAATGATTACGGAGTTCTAATATCCTCCACGAACAGTCTAGACAGTTCGTATCTCTAATAGGCAAGTATAAACGAAGATAAAAAACGGGCATCTAACTCTCGCTAGTAATCATCGAGTCGCCTCTCGCGAGCGAGGAGGGGAAACAATTTCTGCGGGAACGATTATTACGGTCGGCCGTTCTTTTCACTTAACGTTACGTCGCCGAGGAAGAGGCAGAGAGTCCTTTCACGCAGGTTTTACGAGATTCCCCGTGATTTGCTCCACGACCGACCGAAAGAAAGAAAAAAAGAAAGGAAGAAAGAAGCCGAGGGCAAATCATCTAGAGAAGGCAGAGAGACGAAGAAAAAGATGAACAAGCCGGAAGGGCGTTCCTTTAGCGTTTCCTTTATCCCTCGTCTCGGCTTCGCCTCCGCTTTTAAAGGTCCGCATCGGCGCGATACCCAATCCCGTAACGTCTAATTATTGCTGGTTAAGTGGTGGTAATTGAAGGGGGGCGAACGGATCCGTGAAATTGAAGAAACGTTTCGCGTGGCGCGGTTCTCGACGCCGATGGGATCGGATGCCGATCGGCTCGACAACTCGAGCACCCGAGGCTTGTTGATAATACGAATCGTGGCGAATTCTCCGCCGGGGGAATTGTCTCTACGGAATCTCCGGCATGGTGTTTGCCTTCCTCCCTCTTGGGGAATCAAAGTGTCAGATTAATCTGTCGATGGACCAGAGAGGAGATGTCCTCGTATCTTCTCTCTCTCTCTCTCTCTCTCTCTCTCTCTCTCTCTCTCTCTACCTATCTATCTGTCTGTCTCTGTGTACACAGGCTAGATTCCGTGTCTTATACATGACTCTCTTTTCCTTTTTTTCCCATTGTTCTTCGACTGTTCGATTGGCTGACATCTACCGTGATAGAGTGTCGCATTTTTTTTTTTTTTTTTTTTTTTTTTTTTTTTTTTTTTTTTTTTTTTTTTTTTTTTTTTTTTTTTTCTTACCCAGAGAAGGCATCATTTTACTTGTTTATTTTAGTGGATTTATATCGTCATCGATAAAATTCGAGTGATAATTTTCAAGTTAATTAATTTGATAAAGATTGATATCTTTGAATTGTCGTCACACGGTTAAATGTTTTGGTATCTTTAGATAAATGATTTTACTTTGTACTAGACATTGTACAACAAATTACATCACGTTTACAATATTAACCATTTGCACTCGACAGCTAACAGCTCGGACTTCCTCTTTTTATAACTTGCTGATAATTATAACGAACGTGCACATTTGGCGTTGTACGATGCCACGTATAATAGTATAATATCTAAACAAACGCCTGAAATGAAAGCTATAAGAAGAACAAAAGGATTTCAGAAAAAGAAATTTCTAAAGACAAACCCGAGTTTGTACTCGATAATTCGCATAATTCGAGGTAATTCGTTTAAACTAGACTTCTCGTTGCCATTACGAAAGTTTAAGAAATGATGAAGGATATCATTACATTGGCAATTGCTTTAAATATCATATATTACAAAGATATAATCAACAAAATTTCGCATTAAATGCCACATTACAAAATAATTATTACCAATGTTACATCATTTTATTTACGAAATGGATGCTTCAAAAGTCGAGACGAGACGAGAAAAGTTTGTCTAGAATAAAGGGTTAAATATTCGCGAGGATCGTGATAAATATTCAAATCTAATTGCAAGCTCAGTTATTTCGTTATTCGTACACTGATTCCTCGGTAATTCGTTTGTCTCTCGTCTCGAGTCATTTCGTCGACACCGAGGGCCGAAGAATTTCAAGAATTTCAAGAATTTCAAGAATCCAACCGTGACTACGACATGAAACAGGGGCTGTAACTCTGATCGCGAAACGACGTTTCCTACTCACAATTCTTTTTTTTAATCCGCGAAACGACGACTTATTGACTTGCCGACCCTCGTAAATTGCATTTGCCGGATGTCATCGCGCTCCTACGACGGTTTCTCGGAGGTAGAAGAAAAGTGACACACAATGATCGGAGGAACGCGTGTTGGAGTGTAAGTTCCAAGCACAGGCCCCTCCTCCCCCTCCCTCGTTCGTTCCCCATTCGTCATGGGAAGGCACCGCTTTACATATGCATGGAGAGTAAGCGAGCATGTAACGGCTAAGTGGTCACATCCCCTTACGTGAAAGTTAAGTGAGCATGGCAGCACGAGCCGTGGCTACGGGCCGAGAAAATTATCTTCAATTATCTCGTGCAATCACGAGTCCTCCCCCCCCCTCCCTTCCCCTTTTTTCTCTCTTCTTCATCTTCTTCTTCGTCTCTCGGTCTTCTCGGACCTCCTCTCGCCACTCGCGATTCGATTGTTCGCGGAAATTGTACATTTCTCATTCTGTACAAAACGTATGGATTCGAAAGTAAGCACGAAGGGTATCTTGAGTCTCGGAGGAAATAGAAATACTTCGGGAGGAATCTTTATTCAGAGAAAATTTATAGATGAATAACGTTGAAGCGGTTAAACGTTGAAGTGCTTCGCGGACTTGCTGTTCTCGGAAGCCCTGCCCCGAGGAAAATTGCCCCGACGAAGGAAAGTAGCGCCTGCCGCCGAGCTTTAGATTTCCTCGAAGTCCGCGCGGCACGGTTAATTGAACGTTTTCCGCCACTGGCGAACGTATCGGTTATTCAAACGATCGACGCGCAAATTGATACATTAGACACTCGGCGGCGTAACGGATCCCCGGTTGGTCGTCACGGCAACAACATCCTGTCCACTCTTCTTGCACTCTCTTTCTCTCTCTCTCTCTATCTCTATCTCTCTCTCCGCGAGATAATCAACGCACGCGATCCACCGTTTCGTCTCAAGATTCGCGTCTTACACTTTCCACCATAGATATTGAAGGTATTATACGCCAACCGTATTCGAATTGTACCCGCGCGTTTTATCGGTTTTTTAGGTTCAACGAGAGAACTCAGACCGCAAATCTCCGTTATCTATCGATAAATTTCTTCTTGAATCGCAGCCAACGTCGCTGAAACGTCGATCGGCCATTTTCACGGTGAGCTGCGTAATTCGTCGTTCTGTTTCTAACTGTTTATCCCGAGCCCCGGCAAACGACGACGGGGTTGTTGCTCGGTTTCTACCGTAACACTTTTATTTGTTAAATAAAATTTATCTTCGTTTCAATCCTTTGACTGGATTGGCTACGCGATCAAGCATATACAGGGTGGGTTACCATCTAGATTTACGTTATTATTATTACGCGTAGCGGGAAATGTTTCGGATGAAGTTGAATGGTTTCGAGAGGGGCACATTTTGATGATACTAGTTTTCTTGTAGGTGGACGTGTCATTAATGTTTTTTTTTAAATGGAATCATATATTTTATATTTTTTATTTTATCAGTTGATGCACCTTGATATTCTTTACAAAAAAAGTATTAACCTATTTATGTTAAAAAATCATTAATTTAGGAGATATTTTAATTTTAATGTTGTTAGGAAATAAGGTGTACACTGATCATATGAGAGATCGTATCATCACTGAGTATAATAAAATAACACCAGATACATTACACAATGTGAGCGAATTGTTAATCTATCGAATTCAGAAAATGTCGTGATGTCACATTGAAACTATTCTGTAAATAAAATCATTACGACATTAACAAAGTGATCATAATTAATGATTTTTTAACATAAATAGGTTAATACCTTTTTTGTAAAGAATATCAAGGTGCATCAACTGATAAAATAAAAAATATATGATTCCATTTAAAAGAAACGTTAATGACCTTCATATGTCCTCTACGCGTCCACCCACGAGAAAACTAGTATCATCAAAATGTACCATTCAACATTATCCGAAACATTTTCCGCTACGCGTAATAATAATGACGTAAATCTAGATGGCAATATGTGGTGACCCATCCTGTACACGCTTGACGATTAAAATAAATTCGCAGTTTCGTGAGGTAACTGCATAGTTGGAATTCAAGCGAGGATTTGTTTCCTCCCTTCATGAATTACTTCTCGTAACAACAAATTTCCTCTGGAAAGTAGGTGATATCCCAAGTATCGATGCTTCCTACGATTTTCGACAGGAGGATTTGCGAAATTTGTAAATCGTCAATCCGACGCGATGCAATTTCTCCTTTCTTCTTTAAGAAAAAAGAAAAACAAGTTCCTTTGGATTGTTAAGTCCTTGGTTTCTCCAAAGACGGTAGCTTCTTCGCTCGGAGGAAGACTCGCGCGGCGCAACAAACCGGCACAAGTTTAATTAAATTTGCGCCCGTCGAGGTTCTTCAGGATCGACGATCTCGCCCCGCGTATTAAATCCCCCCCGCGTTTCCCTGCCCGCTGTGAATTATTAATCGTAGTCGCAGGGCCACTCGAATTAAAGTTGCAAGGCTGAAGTTGTTGCCGCGTGCGCGTTTCTCTCTAATCCTCGTATTAAATCAGCCGTTCGCCGCCGCGCGTGCAACGGCGTTTACCGAAGAGTTGCCGGTTGCGGGCAACGGCGATATCCAACCGGCTGTGGATATCGCGCAATTGGCTGCCACGAACAATTAAAATTTACCGTCCGGGGCAACGTAATCCTCGGCGACCGGGTCGCGCATAAATTTTCGCGTCGAAAAGAACGCGGAGAAAAGAACGAAGCTCGAGCGAAACTGCCTTTGCCAGCGCGGTTGCTCAACCGTTGTTGTGTTCAGGGCGTTCTCTTCCGGGCCCGAAGCAATAAAACCTGCTCGCCATCTTTTCATACGCCGTTCACGGACGCTCGGCGAGAGAAAGTCCCGAGTCGCAGGTGGCTGGATGATAACGGGGCAACGCGCGTGAAAACGTTCGCTTGGCTTCGCACTTGCCGCGGACAATAACCGAGAATAAAGTGGAAACCAGTTGACAGAGCTGAGATTGGATCGAGTTATTCGAATCTCTCGACTTTGCGACTCGTTGAGAGTGTCTCGGAAATTCTTATTGTCGCGCAGATCAATTTCACGTCGAGTGTATTACCTTCTTCAAGCAAGATTGGAATTCGAATTTCGATGTAAAAATGTTTCTAATCTTGCAAATCTTGTTCGTCAATTCGCTGCTTGCGACAGTACATTTTTAGAAAAAAAAATATACGAAATGCGATGAAGATTTATTCTACTCGAGATGTACAGAGCACAGTTTGCAAAAAGTTTTGAAACATAAACATTGAAACAGTATCTGAAAAACATTCAAATCTCTCAGGCACGAAATAGTATTCGCTTGAAACACGTATAAATATATACAGTCGGCGATTTCGATTGAATTTTCTTACGTTTCAAGCACTCTCGAGTATCTGCGATTTTTCTTTTGCCATGACCAGCATTAATAATTCGTGCTGCGACACAGCAGTTTTACTGCCTGAAAGATTCCTGAATTTAAGAAAAGAAGTGAAAAAGAAAGACGTCGGGTGCTCCGTAGGTCCTCGGTAAGAACTCGGCGAGCTGTAGTGTTTCTGTCGGAGCAAAAATCACAGGGAAACGAAGAGAGAAAGAGAGAGAGAGAGAGAGAAGGGGAGTAGAGGGACTCGGGCTAAGGCTCCTCTAATTGGGAGTGTCCTAATTGGACGGAATTACCGTCGATTCGACACTCCTTGCGGCTAAGCCTCCGGCGTGGAGAAAGCACCGCGCTCTTTTTATCGAATTCTCCGCGATCCCTTCGAATTTACACGAGAGACGCTCGAGGGGGAACACGACGCCGCGATTAAAGTCCACCGTGCTCTCCCCCGAGTCCTCGGCGCCTGCTTGCGCGAAACACACAGATCGCGGCCCCAGGAGAGAGAGAGAGAGAGAGAGAGGGAGGGAGGGAGGTCGCATTAATGCCGGTTAATTGTCAATTAATTTCCGCTTTGAAGAATTCCCACCGAGAAGCAATTGGCCCCGCGAAACTTTCCTCGCTTAAGAAAGTCGTGTCTCTCCCCATCCTTCGACCCTCTCCTCCGGACACAAAGGTCTTCGTTATAACTTCCACCGAACGATTCATTATCCAATTAGTCATTAGTCAAGAAGGGGGGGAGGAAAATCTACTCGACCGAGGTTATCGATATCGTTCCAACAGTTCGATCTACTTGCCACGAATTACACTTTATCCGGAGGAAGGGGAGATTCCGTTTCATTAACACTGGAACAACCGGCGAAATGACGTCGAAATGACCCGAAGTTTTACATATTTTTACAGTTTTCTCAGATGATTTTTTATGAAACGCGCGAATATTTCGAATCGTTTGCATTTATTGTTACATTGACACATTCATGACCGCTGTGACGTGACCGTTCAACGTCTTTCACAAATTCGACTGCTGGTTTATTTTAGCCTTGGAATATAACTTTCGAAATATTTCGTTCTTCTGCTTTGTTTCCATACGCGACTTCTTCATTCACGGGACTAATATTTTTGTCGCCGGTCGTGAATGTATGTATAACGAAAATTCCATTTCTTTACGTGATGCAAATTATAATTTCGTCGCTGGTGATTCCAGCTTTGTTCAAGTATTGACCGTCTCGAGGTCTGTATAGCTGTACCGATAAGCGACACCGGTAGTTTCGCTTTCTGTATCTTTCTCACTGCGAGGAAACGGAAAGATGAAAGGGAGGTTTTCCTCTTTGTTTCCTCGATCACACCCATGGCCGATAGGGTGGGTGCGCGCGCCCGACTTCCGATCCTCGTTTCGTCTTAATCCACTCGTGGTGGCCGGACGTGCAATAATAAACGGCGAGAAACGGGGGTGAGCTCAATCTCCGTGAGCAGAGGCTTTTACGGGGGAGGGATGGCCCGTAATATCTGGTCATCGCCGGCTTCGATCCGCCCCAAATACAACTCTGCTCTCGTCCCTTCGCGCGAACCGCAGGATAGAAAAACACTCGTCGCGGGGAGAGAGATTACGTGACGAAGGGACGAGGGCGCGAGCGAGAGAAGCCGAGAGGAAGGCGTCGCATTAAGAAAGAATTATGGTCTATGGACTTTCCTCGTCGATTAATAGCGTTCCCTTTCTCCTCCTTCCAAATAGAGCGACGGGGGTCAAGTATACTCTCGCGAATCCGAGAGATCCTCGTTTCTAATTTCTGACTAATAATACGTTTTGCTTCGCGCGAACTTACTCGAAAGTAACAAAAAAAAAAAAAAAAAAAAAAAAAAAAGAGGGTTTCAAAATCCAATGGACTCGAGAAATTTGTTAGATCAGAGCTACTTCCATACTGGCACTAAATTTTTTACGTGTCACGGAAATTTTCAGCAAAACTAGAAAATTCGTGTGAATACTTTCGAATAAATTTCCTTTATGATCTGTTATCAGCGAATGTCTCAATTTGTTTGTCCCAGTTTATGTACGCGGGGTCGTGAAAATATTTATAATGTCGATGAAAGTGGTAGAGGGTTGAAAAGGGCAACCTGAATATTTTCATTAGATGAAAGTAAACTCTCAGATGTTTAGTTCACAAGTTACAAAGAAAGAAAAGAAATTTCACGTGATGCTCAACAACGAATTGATCGGCCCTTTCCTTCTGTTGCAGCCCGCCGAGATCGGCAAGACTCGATTGCCCGCGAACCCAGTGTTCGAGGACACCAACAACGCGAACGAGTCCAGCGACGGTATCCTGTCGTTCTTTCCAGCCGCCCTCCGCGAGACACTGTGGACAACGATGGCTCTGTACCTCGGTTGGCGGCTGGTCTCTCGTCTTCGATAGATGCGACAGAACGGTCGCGTCGTCGTCACGACGAGCGACTGCTCGGTCCCAAGCACCCGCAGAACAACCACCCACGCTTGGAACCACGTCAAGGACAGCCAGTACTACGAGCCGCTGTTTGGTAACCCAGAAACTGTTCCTTCCTCGCTCGTTGCACGCTCAACGTGCGCCCAACGGATACCATCGTTCTACGGTACCTATTACTCCAATATCATAAGACCGACGATGGCTAACCAGCAGGAAGAATTCTGTCTGGATGGCTCCTGCTGGACGTCCTACCAGCGCGATATGTTGTACGATCTATTTTCTATGTATGCGTGTCTTACGCCGTCCGTAATCGAGAATGCACTGGCGTTGTATCGTCCTTATCTTGTCGACGGTGATATTTTGAATAAGGACGATTACGACGATGATGATGAGGAGGAGGAGGACGAGGAGGAGGAGGAGGAGGAAGAGGAGGAGGAGGAATACGGATGCGAAGGTATCGATAGCGGTATTGACGACGGTGACGACGAGAATGACAAGGGCGGAGCTTGTCAGCTCGTTGTTTGTCAAGGAGTCAGAGTTACCTGAAGCGAAGTACCATTTCGATGTTTGTGTCCGGTGTTTGTTGTTCGACGATAATTCGATGTAAAAGAAAGGGTACGCGACGCGACGTATATATAGCTATTGTAGCTTCTGGCCTCGACGACAACGACGACAACGACGTTGAGAGACTCGCGTCGCGAACCTCGTTTCTTTTTATTCGTGTAGCGCATCGATGTTGATCTAGCTCGTAGTAGTTACTCGTAGATCATTAGTTAGCGTGATCTTTGCGCGATCGGTTCGACGTAACATCGATCTCCATGGTGCATTCTCGGTCGCGGCGGTGCGTTTATCGATTACACCGACTTGTTCGTTCGATCGCGCCGATCGTGTCGCCTTCCGGTTTCGTTGCATGACGAAAAATTAAGGGGAGGGGGAAAACACATGAGAGACGCGTCACACCGTGTGTGTTCTCGATTGACGACGAAGGTGACGATCGAATTGTGACACACTGGTCTAGATGAGGATGATGGGGAGTCAAGAACGAGATCCAAAGAGGATTTAACCGAATAATCAAATGATGATCTCATTACGGATATAACATAAACAGAATTAAATAAAGTAGTGCGATCACGGGAACGGGACAAGAGCCGAGCAGCTTCGTTCTTTCTCTCTTTTTTTTTTTTGTCTTCTACGTCTGTGTTTTATCATTTCATTTTCTAATTGTGGATTTGTTGTCTGTTTTCTTTTTTTTTCCCCCCCCTTCTTTTTCGTTATTTTCCGAAGCGAGACACCACTTTGTCCCGTTCCCATCGGTAGGAAGTATTTTGACGTGGCTTGTAGATAACGCGGTTACCTAGCCGATACAGGCAAGACAGAACTCTATCTGGGATATAATGATATATGTACCATGCTATATCGTCCCGCGAACGATCGACGATCCTTGACGAGAAAAACAAAAAAAAAAAAAAAAAAAAAAAAAAAAAAAAAAGATAATTCTGGTTGGAGCACAAGTTCGAAATTACAATTTGGACAATTTGGACAATGCAATTTTGAGCAACAAAGAGTGAAAAAAACGGGCCAATTGGTCTGTGAATAACTTCGATTTTTGAAAACAAACGATCGTGGATTAAGTCGGATTGACGTGTCGTTAGACGTCCATAGCGATGGTCCAATCATTTGTATATAGAAAGTATTTCAGAGGGGAGTCTTTTCCTCTCGCTCTTTCTCTCTCTCTCTCTTTCTCTTTCTCTTTTCTCTAACTTTCTCTCTCTCTTTCTCTCTAAATGTATTCGAAAAATAAAAGAACATTTAAAAAAGGAAAAAAAAAACTATGAGAAGAAAAACTCGAAGAAAATACAAAAA